GAAGTGTATGATAAACTTGCTCATGTATGTTCATGTACAACACACGCACACACACACACACATTCATTAGCTTATCACAATAGCCATGCCATAAATAAATGAATGAATGCTTATTAATTGTCTTATATCTATATGAATCATAAGAGATCTTAAATTAGACTATATATGGGCAGATTGAATCGATTGAGTTCACTTGTGTGTGTGTGTGTGTGTGTGTGTGTACGTCTATATACATATGTATGTATGAATGTGTTTGTGTTTGATTACTGGTGAAATCATCTCATTTTCTTATTGTATCAATAAAGATTATCTCTCCTAATGCATTTTATGCTGATATACGTATGACACAAAGTAGTTGCTTCACTTAGAACTCAACGACCCAGTATAGATCTCTGCTTCACTATGTTTATGGGTTGTACAAATTGTATCCTCGGCTTTAAGTATCAAGTATTGCCTTTTGCAGGGATTTTGTTCGCTTACAGGATCGATTACAAGCTGACATCAGTTAAAGAAACATTGGAAAACTAGGGAGGAAGTACTGAATGACTGTTTCGTCCTACTTTTTAGACCCTCCGACAAAATCTCAGCACGAATACAGAGGGCTAGTTTCACGTATGCCAGTTTACGCCGTCTCTGGCGTAGACGTGACATCCGACTATCGACCAAAGGGCGTGTGTACTGCTTAACAGTCCTCTCCATCCTCCTTTATGGCTGTGAGACATGGCCATTGAGAGCAGAGGACATGAAAAGATTATCTGTGTTCGATCATAGGTGTCTGCGTTCTATCTCCCGCGTGAAGTGGTATAATAAGGTGAGCAATATTGAGGTTAGGCATCGGTTGAGTGCTAGGTAAGGCGGGGAAATCAGTCGACGAGACTGTGAAATTACATCGACTGAGATGGTTGGGACATGTGTTACGTATGCCTAGTCATCGCCTTCCTCGACAATGGGCAATGTTAGCTGATATAGGCCCAGTGGTCAAACGAAAACATGGCACCAGTCAATGAAATCCACAACAGTTAGTCTAAGCCACGTAGGAAGGTGTAGACTTCCTGGTTGGGGTCCTCGGGACGGTAATAACCAACGGTTGGAAACAATTGGTGACATGGCTCAAAATCGTTCTCAATGGCTAACGCACATGCATCCACTCCTTGTGACTTATGATTTCCAATTAAACTGTTTTGTTCTCCGTTATTACTACTCTTTTGTCTCACACCTCTGTTTACTGTCTATATTAAGCATTTCTCCTACTTTCTTCTCTTGCTTTGTGTGCTACAAGGAGGGAGTGTGGCAACTTGAACTGCCTCTCATATGTGCAAAGTTCTATGTCGAAAACCGACCGACAGACCGACCCTTCAATGAAAGTACCCACCATCCAGCCTTGTTCAAACCTAGGATCTTCCCTTTACAAGGTGAGCTATCCAATCGCCAACCCATGAATTCCAACTTCTGACAATTTGCGATATATATATGTATAGCGCATTCATCAGCTTAAGTCCGACCGAAAGCTGCTACCTTGCTGGGCTTGAACACCGCAATCACCCAACAAGCTATACTGGCTGAGACTTATGTCGCTTGAGGTCCTACCATGCCAGAAAGGTTGTTTGGATAGCGGTTAGACAAAAAGCAGTTACCTAACCCAATGCTATGACTCAAAGTAAATCACAAAATATCATGCCGGATCGGTCGGGGCCCGGATTAACAACGACCGCGCTTCCTGCTTCCGTGTCACAGGACAGAAGTGATAAATATGCTACTGAGACACAACAAATGAAAGCTAAAGTCGCCTGCGAGTGATTGTCCTGTTGGTTGACTTAGTGGATCCCTCTAGTCACACTACTTCTTACTAAAGCTCCAAGTAACTTGCTGAATAGAGTCAGTCGCTATTTAAGTATCAGATTAACTGTCTAGTGTCGGTGTGTCAGGGATTTGATTGTTTACAGGACTGATCACGATCTGATATCATTTAGAGAACCATTTTAGAAAACTGAGTGTTTTAGACCAGTAAATCACATTTTCATTTACATGTATACACGTGTACGTATTCACAGTGTGTTAGTTTTGATATCAGCAACTCGGTCAAAGATTCTTATAAATATACCGGGTGAAAAGCCATATTTATCCAGTTGCCCAGACTGGGGCATGCAGACTGAGGCTCGACTGAGAACCGAGTACTTAGGCCAATGAGCTGCATATTCTGAGTTACTCACCACCACCAGGTCAAACCTAGAATCGTATACAGCAGCATTACTAGTGTTATCAATTATCCTGATATTATAATTATCTTTTTACTTATTAAAACTCGGTACAATCGTTGGTCGTCATAAAATGTGCCATTCAACTCTGAGGAACAACTTGATGTGAACAGATAAGGCACACTTGTCAAGTGCGAATTTATTACCATTGTCCCTCTGTCTATCTGTTTTCGACATAGAACTTTGCACCGGTGTGCGGCAGTTCAAGTCGCCACACTCCATGTAGCACACAAAGCAAGAGAAATGCATGATATAGACAGTAAACAGAGGTGTGAGACAAAGGAATAGTATTAAACGAAGAACAATATACTTTGATTGGAAATTATAAGTCACAAGGAGTGGATGCATCTGCACCATTCATTGAGAACGATTTTGAGTTAGCCATATCACCAATTGTCTCCAGCCATTGGTGTTTACCGTCCCGAGGACCCCAACCAGTCAAGAAGTCTACACCTTCCTACGTGGCTGGTTTAAACTAACTGTTGTGGATTTCATTGACTGATGCCATGTTTTGGTTTGACCGCCGCTAGTTCTTTTCCAGTCTGACCCTATGTCAGCTAACATTGCCCGTCGAGGAAGGTGATGACTGGGCATACGTGACAAATGTCCTAACCATCTTAGTCGATGTAATGTCACACTCTCGTCGATTGATTTCCCCTTCCTCCTTACCTAGCACTCGATCGATTCCTAACCTCAATATTGCTCACCTTATTATACCACTTCACACGGGACCTACCTGATAACGTCTAGAGCCATTGAGATGCACAATCTCTCTTTCTCTCTCTCTGATAACTGCTGCAATTGATATGCGCTAATCCACTTCAACTATATCCTTCAAGCGTCTCAGTATGACGTCATCGGTTGCTTACTACTAAGTCATTTCAGAATGGACTTTACGATGATCTTCATGGTACATTTCGAAACCACATAAGCCTATATGTCAATTATAAGGTTAATTATTTGGCTACTGTTGGTGACATCATGACAGCCGCCACTCCCTTCGAGTGCTGCTTGTGGTTGTCGTCTGGACGACCGCATTCGACTATTGACTCTTTCGTTAACAGTTTGAAGAGTTCATATTCCCTTCCACCTGCTCTCATAGATTCCTAGACCTTCTACTCCATATCTCCTCATATCTTTGACAACCTGGGTAGCCTTCGAACATTCCACGTCACCATGCTTATTTCTGCATTTATCAACTGGCTACTTAAAGGCGGGGTTCCAACAACCCGCATCATTCACTCTCTCCGAAGTTTCTGTAGAGATTGGATTGATTTTTTGCGGGGTAGGATCGCAAGCCCTTCGCACCCCAAACCTTTTTCCTCTTTTTTCTGAACTTAAGGTAACTGTAAAACTTAGGCACTGTGGTAGAATGTAATTCCATTTTTGTGATAAGTTTATTTCAAATATCATACTGTGATGCAGTATTAATAACTGGGTGACGTTTAAAGCATAAATTATTGCTCATATATTCATATCAGTTTAGTCACATGGCATCACAATTTGTCTAAAATATTTTTTTTCTCTCTCCCTCCAATTTCCCCTCTTCATTTGTTGCCATTTTCCATGCCTCGCGTATGGGCGTTGTGTCATTTCGACTGCTTGTGTGCGGTATTGAATCGATAAACAAAGCTTCAATGATTAACCTCTCTCTGTCTCCACCTATGTTACTTTTTAATACTTGCACCATATCCCACCACATTGTGTATTTGCATGCAATTGAATACAATGCAATGGCCGAGCTTTTTTCTAGGTGATTTAACTTGGTGGGTTCAAGTATTAATTAATGCTCTGATAATCTAGTTGACCCTGATCTACTAGTTTGACTTATGTAATTGATCTCACTAATAGTCATTACATGGTATTTGGTAAAATTATATTATTTTTCTTAATTGGATCTGTTTAGAGGATTTCGTCATGAGCTGGCATTGGTAAGATAGCCACTGGAAAACCTGGGAGTACTGGACAGCTATTTCGTCCTGGTTTTGGGCTCTTCATCAATGCACATCCGCCGTAGGGGAGTTCGAACCCAGGACCTTTGGGTTACAAGGCGAGCTAGCTAGTAGACCGTTAAGCCACTGGGACCCGATTAAATGGTCAGCCCATGAATTCTAACTTCTGCCAATTCATGACATAGCGCTAACACTTAGAAATGTTTTCAATGAGCAACTGTTCTCACTTTCGAACGGCTGTACCCTACTGGTCACGGCTTCCCAATAGAACCTCAGGTAGCTGCCTGATTAGGGTCAGTCGCTAGGAAGCTCGCTGAAACCAATCAAATCCCTACAAAGCAATACTTAAAATGTCAATTGGATCTATCGAGTGGGTCCTTAAGCCGACAAAGTTTATCTCTGAGTGAGAGTTAGTTGGTTGACGTAGCTTCCAAACCTCATCCATTGACTTTCCCTCATTACGTAACACCATATGCCGAACCTGAATATCACTCACTCTATTATACTACTTAGCACGTGAGATGGAACTCTCTGGTCAAAACAAGTTAGCATTCTCACGTCTAACATTTTCAGTGAACCGGTGCTCAGTAGACACACACACACACATCCTGTGATCAATAGTTGGATATCATGTATACGCCACACAGATGTGAAGTAAGTTGGCAAATTTCATACACAAACATTTTGTTTTATTTGCATGCATTCTTGTGAACTTCTTAAATTTGTTTTTTCTACATTTTACGTTTATTTTTTCCTCCTTTCATTCGCTCCCTCTCCCCCACCTCCCGTGTAGGTAATGAGATTTACTGAAGAAAATGTAGCGCTTTTTATTGGTGT